AAGCCTCCCGGAACTTTATCCGGAACCCTGTTGAACCTACCAAAAGGCTCTGGAGGATTAAAAGGATTAAACGGATTAAATCATTTAATCCTTTTAAACCGTTTGATCCTTTTGATCCTTTTAATCCTCCAGGCCTCCCAGAATCCCAAGAAAAGCCCAGCAATTTAATTCTTTAAATCCTTTTAATCCTTTTGGACCGGGAATTCCGGACCCCCTGGAGGATTAAAAGGATTAAAAGGATTAAAAGGATTAAATCATTTAATCCTTTTAATCCGTTTAATCCTCTAAAAGGCTCTGGAGGATTAAAAGGATTAAATCCTTTAATCCTTTTAATCCGTTTAATCCTCCAAAAGCCTCTGTGGGATTAAAGGGATTAACTGGATTTAAATATATTTCTCAAGGGCTTGGGCCGGGAATTCCGGACCCCCTGGAGGATTAAAAGGATTAAAAGGATTAAATCATTTAATCCTTGTAATCCTTTTAATCCCCTAAAGGGCTCTGGAGGATTAAAAGGATTAAACGGATTAAACCATTTAATCCTTTTAATCCTTTTAATCCTCCAAAAGGCTCTGGAGGATTAAAAGGATTAAAAGGATTAAAAGGATTAAATGATTTAATCCTTTTAATCCTTTTAATCCCCCAAAGGACTCTGGAGGATTAAAAGGATTAAAAGGATTAAACCATTTAATCCTTTTAACCCTTTTAATCCTCCAAAAGGCTCTGGAGGATTAACAGGATTAAATGGACTAAATCATTTAATCCCTTTAATCCTTTTAATCCCCCAAAAGGCCCTGGAGGATTAACAGGATTAAAAGGATTAAATGATTTAATCCTTTTAATCCTTAATCCTTTTAATCCTTTTAATCCCTTTAATCCTCCAGACCTCCCAGAATCCCAAGAAAAGCCCAGCAATTTAATTCTTTAAATCCTTTTAATCCTTTTAATCCTCCAAAAGGCTCTGGAGGATTAAAAGGATTAAAAGGATTAAATCATTTAATCCTTTTAATCCTTTTAATCCCCCAAAAGGCTCTGGAGGATTAAAAGGATTAAATGGATTTAAATATATTTCTCAAGGGCTTGGGCCCGGAATTCCGGACCCCCTGGAGGATTAAAAGGATTAAAAGGATTAAAAGGATTAAAAGGATTAAAAGGATTAAATCATTTAATCCTTTTAATCCTTTTAATCCTCCAAAAGGCTCTGGAGGATTAAAAGGATTAAAAGGATTAAATCATTTAATCCTTTTAATCCTTTTAATCCTCCAGACCTCCCAGAATCCCAAGAAAAGCCCAGCAATTTAATTCTTTAAATCCTTTTAATCCTTCTAATCCTCCAAAAGGCTCTGGAGGATTAAAAGGATTAAATGGATTTAAATATATTTCTCAAGGGCTTGGGCCGGGAATTCCGGACCCCCTGGAGGATTAAAAGGATTAAAAGGATTAAAAGGATTAAAAGGATTAAATCATTTAATCCTTTTAATCCTTTTAATCCTCCAAAAGGCTCTGGAGGATTAAAAGGATTAAAGGGATTAAATCATTTAATCCTTTTAATCCTTTTAATCCCCCAAAAGGCTCTGGAGGATTAAAAGGATTAAATGATTTAATCCTTTTAATCCTTTTAATCCCCCAAAAGCTCTGGAGGATTAAAAGGATTAAAAGGATTAAATCATTTAATCCTTTTAATCCATTTAATCCCCCAAAGGCTCTGGAGGATTAAAAGGATTAAAAGGATTAAATCATTTAATCCTTTTAATCCGTTTAATCCCCCAAAGGACTCTGGAGGATTAAAAGGATTAAAAGGATTAAATCATTTAATCCTTTTAATCCTTTTAATCCTCCAAAAGGCTCTGGAGGATTAAAAGGATTAAAAGGATTAAATCATCTAATCCTTTTAATCCTTTTAATCCTCCAAAAAGCTCTGGAGGATTAAAAGGATTAAACGGATTAAATCATTTAGTCCTTTTAATCCTTTTAATCCCCCAAAAGGCTCTGGAGGATTAAAAGGATTAAAAGGATTAAATCATTTAATTCTTCAAATCCTCTCAATTATTCAAAAGGCTCTAAAAATTATCAGAATTAACCGGAACAAAATGGTACCTAAAGGTCTCTCGATCATATATATATATATATATATATATGGACCAGCACCCCCAAATAGTTGCTGCAGTCACTTTCTCTTCAACCATTCCATATAGGGGTATCTAACCGAGCAAAATGCAGTTTTGTGATTTATGCTAACTACAGTTGGTACACATAACTCCAGTGACTGTTGGATTTATGCCATGTTAGATATACCTTCCAGTAAACAAGCATGGCAATGGAAACTCCTCAATTTACTTCGATGAATTTCCCATTGACATTCCAATTTATGAGTGATTGTCCAGCCACGTTTGATGACACCAGAGGGTATCACACTTGGGGGTCAGTTCAAGACATAACTGACGTCGTCATTACCTGGAAGATGATCGTCGAGCAAAACGGGGCTTTGAGGTTGCAGAATTGATTTATTGATAATTTACCTATAAAAAAGTGATTATTTTTTACAGCTATGTTAATTTGCCACAGGGCACACTTGGTATTTTTTTCTAGCCCAATGTGTGGATTTTATTCAGATCAATGGGGATAGAAGCAATGTACCACTTACAGTGCCTCGTTTCAAAGATTTCTTTTCCATCCCCGGGAACAATGATTGTCCCAACCTATCCCAACCAGCATTTTTTGAGAGTGGTACCCTGTGGGCCCCCATTTTTATATGGTTTTGATAGTTTTTTAAAAACAATTTATGCTTCTTTATACTCATAGCCTTTTGTTCTTTCTTTTCTATGTGTTTTATGTTACTTTGTTTCTGTTGCATTGCATTGTTGTTTGTTGTATATTTAATTTGGTTCTGGAAAGTTTATATAGAATACATAGAATCGTACAGATGGAGATAGGGCCCATATCCTTGGTTCTACATTGTTTTTCTTTTTCTCTTGCACAAGCAGATTATAAATAGACCCATGGCAAGTAGCAGATTTAAGATCTGTATTTCAATATGAGATATGTATGTATACACGCAGTTGTGTCACAATACCCAACAATGATTAATGAGATAAACTAGGTAAACTTCTTAAACAAATGCCCTTGTGACATCACCATATAAGCTTGTTCATGCAACTGTGTTTCTATTGCTTAGATTTGGTGGTTCCTACAAGCAAAAACTAAAGTCTAAGGACAGCCTTGCAACAATGCAGGCAGTTGCAGTTGCAAAGGTTATATCAGAGGTTAAAGCCTTACAGGACTACTCAAGTTTTGTCCCAAGATTCTCTAGTGTGAACATTCACATAGTGGGCATGGATCACAAGAGCCACCCAATTTTTTATGAATCGCAAAAGTGTTTTTTCGCAGATCTAAATGGCTCTACCAAGTCTTGTCATCAAGTGTTTTCCCTCCATCACAAACTAATGTTGTGATCATGGAAAGGCACGGATTAAATCACTCCGGCCTCATATCTGAAGAGTGCAAAGCCATGTTTCCCAACCAAAAGTAGTGCACATGGAATATAAAAGATCACCTATACCCAACCTTAGAGCAACATGACAAAATCAATCTTACATGCACGTAGCAGTGATCACCTCCAACCCATCACACGCATAGCCATTCCAGAAACTTAGAGTCTCACGCAAGCACCCAGGGCAATCAATATTATATACAGTTGTGTTCTTGTCAGTGGAGTCTGCTTGAACGTGCATTTCTTTTCATGTATATGTTTCTCTGGCGAACCAACAATGCAAGCAAACAGGAAACTTAGCAAACAGTGTCACATACAAGCTGCACAAGCAGAAAGCATACCTATACATGACACATTATCATGCTCTGGAAATTGCACACGATATTCATTGGCAATACCTTTGCTGAGTGGTATCATGCTCTTTTCATGCTATGTTATGCAAATGTTTTCCAGGTAATAAGAGCAGAATATTGAAAGAACATGCTGCAATCAAAATCTGTAAGTGAATGTGCTGATCAAGCAATTTGGGTGAGCGGAATATCTTCAAGGATATGCCTACAGCCATCGCAAGGAGCAGACCTGGCACCTTCTTCCCAATAAATCACTGGATCCAGTTAGGCATTTCTCGAAGTCTATTTTCAGTCTTTATGGTACTGTAGCAAGGGTGACCCGAGCAATCTCTCAAACTATCATGCAAATAATCAACAGAAGCAATCATTGCACCATGTCATACATTGCCATCCTGCGTTTGTAGTTTAGAAGCAATGTAGCCTATTGTTGGCTCTATTTACTCTATTTGAAACACGCAAAAGACTGACAGGTATATGATCTAGCTGATTGCTTCCTTGGGATGACTGCAGACGGTTCTTCAAGACTACTCATCCACATAAATATCGAGCTTTCTGGGCATGACAGTCATGTAGTCTTGGTTGAAATAGATGATATGTTTCCACAGAGCTGCCTATAAAGGGCATCTGATTTTTAGGGCTCGGAAAAAATTCATCAAAGCTGCCGAGCCACCCTCTCCAGATCTCTGGAGAGACTGTGCCATCAGTATTTGGTGCCAATTTGGTGCTAAAATGTATGGCAAAATGGAGGATGAATGACCTTCTAGAGAAGGTGGAAAGGAGACTTAAACAACCAAAAAACGAACTTTTTCCTTTAGATTAAAGTTCAATTTTGCATGTACTAAGTACTGTTGTGTTTGAATAACACTGTTCTAACATCTTGTGTTGTGAGATGTTGCAAAGACATGCAGAACTAACCATACAAAATGCATATATACTTTAATATTATGCTGTATTTCCAAAAAACGTGGAAACGTGGGGGCCCTGGTATCTTTCTGTTTTTTTAAATGGTTTTAGACTTACAACCAGCTTGGCTCCAGTGTGCCAAATCTGGTTCGACATTTTGAGGATTGATTTGGTTACTAACTTCCGCATCACCACGAATCATCATCGCAGAATCACCCAAACCATTTGTGCTTCCGACGACACATGCCATCTGCTGTGAGGTTAAGCAGGAAGAAGTTCATGCACTCCTTTTCGTCCGTCCAGGAAGATTCTGTGAACCACTGGCAAGAGACGGAAAATAGCGGCAACATGCTGGCTTCCAAACTGAAGGGCAGACTTGTGAACAAGCTCGCGAAAGCGAGGGTGGCTGGGCTTGAGACCCATATCCATATCCATATGGATTATATATGATTATCACATGTCATCTATGTACAATGTTTACGATACATACGCATGTTTTGACTTCCCTTAGCACTACCGCATGCATCCACACACTTGGAAACACCCCGAAGGAGCGGATGAAATGAGATGAAATGAGTTCATGTAGTGATGTCATGTAGCAATGTCATGGACTGTAATGGGGGAAGGGTGGTTTTTGGCTTAGCCACCTCGCCATTTCCGATCAATGAGTTGTCATGAGCGAATCCAACTACCATGCAGGTACGTCACTGGACGTCTCCAGTGATATCATTTTCACATGCAAGCCCTTTCGTTGGGCTGGTACTTGCATGGACAACCAGCCCCTCTGCTATCAGAGTTTAGTGTTCACGTGCATGCATATAACATCATATTCCCTTTGTTGCAGGGCTTTACACACACAATATCAATATAAATGTAAATTCGGTTGAAATATAAATTTAATTTTTACGTATATATTATATATTCATATAAAGATGCATACACAAATCAATAAACATGAAAATACAAGTATAGATTATTATAGATTTAAACATAAACAAACATATAAACATGAATTTCAATATAGACATTATGATATGACAAAGGCCCAACGAATCTGATCATGGACCCCGCTTTTGCGCATACGCTATACGCTCTGCAGGCAGCGTTGGGAACACAGTTGCCTTCCATCCACAAGAATCCCTTCGCCATCGAGGAGACTAGAAGTGATGATGCCTTCACTTCTGAGCGGATGGTGAACGTCTTGAAAGACTCGCGTTTCTTTAAAGACCTGGATGCGGCGGTGCTTGAGACCTTGCCGAAACATGCGAAATTTCTGAACGTACCCAATGGTGCTGTGCTCTTTCGCCAAGGGGATCCTGCTAAGGGATGTTACATCATCGTGAGCGGCAAAGTGGGCTTCTATGCAGGTGGCAACAGCAACACTCCGCGGCAACCGCCCACAGAGATGAACGAAACCATCCCTGAAGCGGCACGACGAGTACACACCTATGAAGGCCATGGGATGGTGACGATGGTTGGATGGTAGTTTGCGGCCACCAGTGACGGGACACATACTTTTGATATATCTGCATTTTTGCAGATCGCGGTTCGGGTTCAGAGGTTGAGCCTCGTGCGCCATCTTAACGGAGCGTCCACAGACATTTCTGGCGTTTTCTCAAATAATCCCATGACCCTAATGTTAAACACCCCATAAATGGTCCCAATTATGTGGAAATTCCCTACATCCACCATGGTTTCGTTTAGGGGGTGTTTAATGTACGGGGGAAGGGATTATTTAATGCCACTTCAGAGCCTCTTGAGAGGTTTTAGCACCTTTTCCAAAGTCTCGGACTACGGGCAGTGTGTGAAGAAGTGCCTGGGCTTTATTTCACTTCGCGATTGGATGGTTTTGAGATTCCATCGAAACATAGAATTGAATCATATTATTGACATATACAGTATTGTATATAATTATATATGTAAATAAATATGGTTCAAGACTTTCATACGGGTATGGGCCATGGGTCTATCTTGTTGGGATGCTTCAGTCAGTGAATTTGTGCCCAACATGAGCTATATTTTGTTTGATGGTACCACATTGAGGATAGGTTTCCTGTACACAAATCCCTTCAATCAACCTCCACATATGGCCACTGATAGGTGGTTTTTTATCCAAATTCTCGGCATGATTTGAACATTCTTAAATCCAAATTGTTGGCCAAACCTATATTTGGCTGCTTGCCAACAATGGTGGTTGCCAAACTTTTGGTCAAATACGACTCATGTTGCTGTTCAAATCCTCATCAAAATTGATGGTGTTTACCAGTTATATCACATATATTCCCATATTTTGGTTAAAAAAACCAAGTGATGAACTAATCATCAACCAGGGATTTTTGGATGTCACATGATGTCACGTCCATCGTCCATCCGTGTGACGTTAGGAGTGGCACCGGGGAGGTCTTCGGGGAGCTGGCGCTGATGGACGGTGGCGCGGTGCCGCGCAAGGCCACGGCGCGATGTCTGGACGAGTCGGAGCTGCTCTTCGTCTCGGCTGAGGGATTTGAAGAGGTGAAGAAATACGTCACTTGGACATCTGAAGCCATGGATTTTTAGGGATTTTCAAGGATTGATTTGAGGATTTTTTGAGGATTTATAGGGATTTATAGGGATTTGAGGATCTCTATTTTTAAGGATTGATTTAAGAAAAACTTGTTAGGGATTTTTGAGGATTTATAGGGTTTCTTTTGGGGATTCGATAGGGATTAATCCATTCATTTGGTAAGCATGTGGATCTTTAACCAACGACATGGATTTCTTTCAGGATATAATTGGAATAACAGCATTGTAGGCGATTGGTGGAAGATTTGAGCCAATAATAATTATATGGGGTATCATGTATATATATATATCTAAACCAGGCCATTAAATGAACCTAAAATGGTTGAGCAAAATTGGAAGCTATGGAAATTCATGTTTTTCTCGTGGTTATCCTTTTCTAAAGGCACGGCAATGGAACAGCAAACAGCAATGGAACATCTCAAAATTTTCATATGGGAATCCATTGATTAGTGAACCAATGGGGTTTTCTAACCACCAATCATCGTGGATGGAGATCTCGCGCGACACATGGGGATGAAGAATTTCGGATGACAGGGGATGATGTTTTATGACTTTTCATACAGGGGATACACCAACAATGGGGATCCATGGACTTTAAAATTCTATCTTTTCAATGAAACAAAAACGGGGTTTAAATGATCCCAAATCAGGGACTTTTAGCGACATGACATACGTCACCTGGTTTCAATTTACGATGAATCAAGCCCCAGTAGAAGCACAGGTACCCTCTGGCGCCATGGAAAATCCACCATTTGTGGATGATTGTTCCATTAAAATCTCCATTTTGGGGGATGACCAGAGTCACCAGAGGGTATATATTTTTTTTTAAAGCAATCAGAATCAAATGTGAATTGGCTTGGAAGATGGTGTGTCACCCGATTTTTCCCAAAAAGATCAAACATCGCAAAACATACACTAACATTGGAGGATTTAACCAACATCGAATCCGAACTTGCACCAACCAAACGCTGGATAAACAATAATTTTCACCACATAGTTTTTCACTACAGCACTTACCTGGGGCGAATCGATCAATACTTGAGACTTTTTCTTGACCATCCTTGGTTGGCTGAATATGAGGATTGGGCCAGCCCAATCAGCATGAGAAGAATTTCTGAGTGGAGGATTTCACCAAGATCATTTTTAGAAACAACCAATCATAGGGGTAGTTCGAAATGTCCCCTTTTCCATCATCAATCCAGTTTCTGGATCAGGTGGAGTTTATTGAATTTAGTGCTGGGAAAAATATAAAAAGGGTGAAGTAAGCCGATATTCGGACTGTTTTTTTTCCATTGCCAAGAATAGGGTTGTCACCACCACAGAAGGAAGATCCGTTGAACAAATGGGGATTCAACCCATGCACAGGAGTGATCAATGGATGATTGTCAAGTGAGTATTTCGACGGTTCCTTTAAAAGGGTGAACAGTTCATCCTCATGGGGAATATCAATGTCAACCACCACGACAGGAGGGTTGTGCAGCTGAAATTCACTGAGGGCTCTCAACCATCAAAAAGAGAATGTTCACCAAGGTAGAATGGGATTTGAAGAGGGAGAAACGAGGATTTGAACCGGTCAAAATATAGGACCTACCTTCTGGTAATTTAGCACTTTGCTATGGAAAAAGGACCCATTTATAGATGATGTACCATCATCTTACTTATCAAAGATGCTGATTTTCTATAGCTATGTTGAATTACCAGAGGGTAAGCCACTGATGTTGGTGCTTGTTGGTACCAACCTTCGTTCTTCAGCAGCACCGCCTGGCCTGTCGAGGTGAAAGAATTGGAAATGCAAAAGCGGGAATTTCTGGTGTCCTGTTTGCCCGGCATGAAGGCCTCGGGACGAGAATGCGCTGAATGACTAGGGCCGTGGGGTCAAAGAGAGGTCAAACATTTGGTAAAACCTTTGGAAAAATTGAAAGTTAGTGCTGTTTGAATCCTTCTTCGTGCCGGTCCGACAGCTACATCGCACTTCCTGCATTTTGCAAGATTTTGCTATGTGTGAGGATTCTTTCTCGGGGCTCACACATGACTTTTGTGTGCCTGTAGCCTGTACCCTCCATGTGCCAAAAAGATAAACCCTCCAATAATCAAACGTGGCACACGAAAGTCTGCTGTTTACAGTTGATTTCCCATTAAAACCTCCATGTTATAGTGGATTTCCCAGCTAGCCATGTTTGATTGCCGGAGGGTATTCACTTGCATAGACTTCGGAGTTGTGTCTCTCACCAGGACGTGAAGAAGGTTGGCGGGCACAGTTCCGGGAACTGCTTCCACCAAGAACGGCACCAGCAGGGCACCCTCCTTCTGCGCCAGGGGGTTTCTGAAGAGCGCGTGATGTACGTGGTCCTCAGCGGCAGCATCCAACTCTTTCGTCACAGAGGTCGAGGCCTCGGTCCAGGTGCAGTGGATGTGTTGGCAACGCTGGAAACGGGGCAGATGTTTGGCACCTTTGGGCCGGAGCTGAAGATGCCGTTTTCGGCCAAAGTGGTGACCAAGAACTGCGAGGTACTCTCAGCGCGAGCGCAGCTTGGTGATCTGAAGGGTTGGAACATTGGTCAGACAAATTCAGACAATATAACATATCAAGACACACACACACACATATATAAAAACAATATGAAGAAATACGTAGACAATTAAATAGATAAATGATCACACAGGTACAGTTATACTCACGCACATAGAAGTAGAGCCTGGACAGGCCCGGAGGCAGGCGTTTTCAAGCGATCAGGATGACTTGACTTACCTTTCGAAGATCACAAGCACCAAATCAGTGAGTGAAGCATTTCCATTCTTTGTGCTGTCAACCTGTGTGCATTGGTTAAAAAAAACCATTCATTATTATAGCTATAATTGCCATAAATCCTAGTGAAGTTGGAGTGATAAACCACCTAAACCACCTTAGCTATCTACTCTTGAGGAGAGACATTGAAATGTTGCCCGAGTCGGTGGTGGGACAGATCATGGCCCAACTCTCCCGGGACACCGCCGAGCGACTGCGAAAGAGTTGTGTCTTTAAAGGCATGGTGGACTTGGGATGGGGATATGATATAAACATCTTGATCTGATCAGTGATACTTGGGCTCAACTACAACCAAGCATGCAGGGATATATCGCCAACATTCACCAACAATGCAACCAAGAATATCAAGGGGGATACGTACGGTAGGTTTTTGCTCCTGGCGTGGAATTGGGTAATAGGTCAGGTGCCACGATGGACGCGTTAGATCGACACACTTGATATCTGTCGGGGGAGACCAATTGGTTTCGCGTCCCTCCGCTTTTCGCATGTCCAAACATTGGATCATATATCCTCATGAAGAAACAAGGATATGCGCCCACCATTTTTGGACAAGAATCCGGAGGCTACCAACGGTGGTATTCCTTGTTGATGTGTTTTCCAATGGGTTTTCCTCATTGTTTCCCACATGTCATACATTCTTTTCATCAAAAAATCCCGTTTCAAAGTTTTCGAACATTTTCCCATGACCTTTTGGGACATTTCCACCATTTTTTGCCGTTTTTAGGAATTCCCTGGCTTTCCATCTGCCTTCAGGCATGGGTTGGCAGCGGCAGCAACGCAGCAGCTCCGGCGGTGCTCACACCGAGAGGGACGCTGCGGCGGAGCTGTTGGCCATGAACTCGAGAGATCTCAGGACGAAGCAACACATTGGGAGATGTGGGATATAGGATCCAAATGGATAGTATTTTTCGTTTTTTTGAGGTTGGGGTAACAAATCGGATGTAGTTGCAGTAGTGGGAATAGAACTATATATATATAACTATATATATATAACTATATATATATATAACTATATATATAACTATATATAACTATATATATATAACTATATACAGTGTAAATGGGGGTAGCTCCCAACCTGAAAACACCAACGGCGGTCCCTGCCACCGGCCAAAGTTCCAGCTGCGGCCTCGCAGACCCTTTTGGCACCTCGCAGATCTTGCTGTATCCACAGCTATGTTTAGGTCGGCCACGACCCTTGAATTGCACAGCCAATTGCTCCAAGGCTTCGAAAAACCCTCCCTCCTCAGCTCCTATGGGGCTCCCTGAGCCTACAAAGGCCTGCGGATCCATACCGCATGATGGTGCTGGTTGTGCACCTGGCAAGTTGACAAGAGCTAAAGCTGGCGAAATGAGAACATTCACATTCCCAACATTTCAAAGTTTTATTGGCTGTTGCTCATTTCGCTGGCTGTGGAACGGAGCCATTTGAGTCGGTTTCGGGCATTGGCTCGGCTCTTTAAAACTTCATTGACATCGTGCAAACAGTAGTGGCCATGTCGCAGTGTCTCTCTCAAAAACTGTCACTCCATGACTTTAGTCAAAGCATCTGCTAACTGTGCCCCAGAATGGACCCAATGCAAACATATGTTTTCAGAAAGGATATCTTTAATGGAGCGAGCTAGCAACTGTGTTCTGAACTCTTGGCAATTTGGGACAGCGGTGCGCGTGGTGAGATCATATAGGCTCTTGCAATCCGTTATGGCCAAATCCTTTTCATCAATCTTTGCAGTTGGAACCGTTACAGCTACTGGAAGGGATACGGTTTCAGGTTTTTGCCATGGGATTCTTGGATCGATGAGCCATGCCCAATACACTCGGATCCAGGTCAGTTGATCCAGCGTCGTGGATAAGGCTGTTGCCTCTGCGGATAACGTGCTTGTTACTACCCGCTGGATTTTCTTTGTTCCCCAAGACAAAGGACTGACTTTACAGGATTTATTTCTTGAGATCTCTTTATGGGTTGCCATGATGATCATTCCTGAGTATGATTCTGGTTTTGTTTTGGATGCAAAGGATGCATCAGAGAATGCTAAAAACCTCAGGTCATTTATTTCAATTGGATTAATTTTGATGGTAACATCATGGTGTTTCTTTGCGGTGTGAAGAGTTTTATTGGCCATGATAAGGGTAGTTACTTTTGCGGTGTTAATTTGGGATTGGAGCTGACTGAGGGAGCTGGTGAGATCGGGTCTGGTATGAACAGCAGCGTACTGCAATGATCCAATGAGTCCTCGCAAGAGGTGTCTTTCTTCCTCGGTCACGGGTTCTTCCTCTTGAGCTCTCCGTTCAGGTTTGATGTTAATGGGATTGATGTTACGCACATACTTTGATTGGGAAAGTTCAATGCTGTTATCTTGATTTTGTTTAAGGTCAATTCCTGTGAAGGTAAAAACTCGGGACTTTTTGGATCCGAATGGATATTTGGATTCTAGTTTGGCAATTTGTTGCTGGAAGAAATGGTCTCCACCATGAATGCCGTCATCAACATGGATTCCTAGGACTCCGGAAAGTTTTTGATTTTCGGGATGTCGGAGAACGAACACACATGGATCGAACGGGCAAGGTTTAAACCCAAGGCTGATGAGTTCTTCCTGCAAAGTCTGAAACCATAAAAATGGGGCATCGATGAGACCGTATGCTGACTTGTCCAGCTTGCAAATTTCGCCCTGTTTGAGGTTCATGGCCTTTGCCAATTCAATAGTGGGTTCAAGTCCAATAACTCGGTCCTTTTGGGGCTTCCCTTGGAGAAACGCAGCTTTGATATCAAAAGACCCCAAAGACCATCCCATTGATGAGATTAGTTGGAGGAGTATCATCTTGGATTGCTTACCCAATGTAGGACTATCTCTGGGCACCTCAGTTATTTGTGGGTCCATGTATCCCAAAACTACCAAACGGGCCTTTGGCTTATGGGTCTTGAGTTTGCCTTTATGTTCACTGGCATCCGTGGCTTCTCCATCAATGGGCTTCCAGGTGAGGATCCAGCGGCATCTGAGGATTTGTTCAGGTGCTAACTTCTCCCGCAGGATTTTTGAGACCGTTCCGGTTTTCAGCCAATTTTGAACCTCGGTGTCTTTTGCCTGGGCAAATGCTTTTAGCTCTTCACTGGATAGCATCGACAACTTCACTTCGGTTCTCTGCTTCTTTTCCGTGGTGGCGACTAAAAGATCATCTGGGGACCACTTATTAAGATGGTTGATATCTATCCATGATGGTATTTCAAATTCACATTTCCAGGCGCATGGCACTTCGGCAGGGTCCACGTGCATGACAGTGTCTTCACAACAAAGCAAATGAGTTGTGATCAGACTGTCGTCGCTGGCTGTTTCCGGAATTGGAATTTCAACGGCGGGTTCGCCTTCAGGTGCTGAACTGATTTCAGGGGTTGGATCGGTGGCTTCTGGTTCCATGTCAGGTTGATCTTGAGATTGGCTTTGATTGTCTTCGCTTTGGGGATGTTCTGGATTACTTCGGGGATGTTCTGGATTACTTCGGGGATTGGATGGTACAGTTATTGGAGTTCCCCCTTCATCAGAGATTACTTCGGGTGTGTTGGTATTCTGAGCTTGAGGTGGCGGGGGTCTATCCTCTTGGAATGGAATTCGACTGGCCTCTGAGGAACAAACTGGTCGAACATGTTCGAGTGCTCTTCGATAAAGTTTTCCCCCTTGAGTGGCCCATATGGAATTTTGACCCTCCTGTGCAACTACTTTAAGGGGACCAAACCAATGACCTCCACTTGTTTCAGGTTGCCATAACATGACCCACTCCCCAGGCTCGTACGCACGGCGATCCGGCCGTGACCGTCTCAGGCATGCGCGCCGAAGCGCTTGGTCGTTGTCGGCCTGATGGAAGGCCACTCTGGCCTTTTCTCTCAGGGCCAGATTCTGACGGAAGGCTATCCCGTGGGCATCTTCTCGGCAGGCACTTGCTAGGGATGACACAGAGTCACAACCACTCAAGGACCCTGGGAGTCGGGAACTTTTCCCAAAGACCAAAATCTCCGGCGAGAACCCCTTGCGAATGCTAAGTGTGTTCTTGGCATGTGTGCATTGCGCTAGAACCTGCTGGAGTTCAGTGTATGTCTGGATTGGGGAATCATGGTCAACCTTGTTAAGCATGGATTGGAGTATGTGGCCATGTCTTTCACATCGACCATTTTGCCAGTGAGCATGCGGGGCTATCGTCGTTGCTTTTACATCATTCCTTTGAAGAAACTCCAAGAAGTGACTGCTTGTAAACTCAGTGCCTGCATCTGTCACCAACACATTTGGTGGCCCGGCCCACTGGAACCAACTTTCTGCTACGCATTGGACTGCATGCTCTGCCGCACGGCTAGGTGCAGGAGTTGCCACATGAAAGTTTGTTGCCTGGTCCAAGATGTGGTAAAAGTGAAAGGTCTTACCCCCTTTACTGGTCCACGTTACCCCATCAATAAATACCTTATCATTGAAATCCAGCTCATGCTTGAGGGTACTTGGTCGGGCAATTTTGGGATGTTGATGGCTGCACAAGTTTCGCATTTCATGTCGAAAACTGCCTGCGTAATTTCCGGTCGGACTCCTTGCATTCTCAGCACGGCGCTAAGCTGCTCAGGGCTTGGGTGGCACAGGTTTTGATGTGCTCGTCTGAGCATAGCCTGTTCCTCCCTTGGGAGAGCAGTGAACCTGTTGTTCTTGGCTGGCATTTCCCCGGGATCACTTTGGATTGGGGATCCAGAGCTAGGCACCATGGCTTCCGGACTTAACCCTTTTGGACTCATGATTTCATCTGGCTCAATCTCTTTGGCTGGTACATCTCTAGGGTTATTCTCTCTCAGCTCTGGACCCTGGGAACTGGCGTGATCATTCCCTGGGAGATTCGGAATTTCAACAGACTTTTCGGCTGGCGACTCACTTGGCTGGCCACTTTGGGTCAAAGGAACTTGCATGGGATTTGCCGCAAAGACAGTTATATTCACTCGACAGGGTTTGGATTTTCGGATGACTTTTCTCTTGGCTAGTTCATCGTATTTTTCCCATTCCTCTAAGTGAATTTTCCCAGTGCTTCGGAGTTTCATGATTGATCTACGGTAGGGAGCTTCCCTAGGGTTGATAGTGGATGGGGGTGCCATAGTGCGTTCTGTCCCCTTACATGCGATTACCCCCCTGACGATTTTCTCGGGAAACAACTCCTGGATTCTTTGGACGAGCTGGGGATGCTCGATCAGCGTTTTACCTACTCTCGGTAGATAAGATTCTACATCTTGCATGATTTCTCCAAGTCGGCTGTCGCAAACTTCAGGGTCACTTGCTGAACTTTCGGACTTCTGTTCATGACCTTCAGGCTGTTTAAACCTACGACGTTTTTCGGTCGGAGGTGGTTCGAGTGACCTGTCTGCGGACTTGGCTTTTCTTTGTCGGAGCCCCGACAATTTGACCTGCTTGGGCATACGAGCATCCACTGCTAAAGCACTGCTGATTTGAAACCACTGGTCCAATGCAAAAAGCGCTGGATCAACTATGGTTCCTACTGGTTTTTCGGTGGGAAACTGCCTGCTGAGGATGGTTTTTGCAATCAGCCGTGCAAACTTCCGTGGATATCTCTCGGTAAAAACGGATCGCGCAACACCCTGTCCATGCACTCTGGTGGATCCCTCAATGGCTTGATGGGAGTGATCTCTTTGGCACCGAAGGGGATCAAGGGTGTCATGCATCTTTCGGGAAGTGGTGAGGATATGCATGCCTTTCTTTATGGGCTGACATGTCACCGGGTCTTGAAGGCTTCCAGCATTGCACATGTCTGGCTTGGCACTAAGCATATATCGGCTTAACTCATTCAAGTAAGGCAACATGAACATGAGTGAACCGCCGGGCTGTTCCCAGTGTGCATGGCGATGGCATCGGTGTTGATATCGGCACAGCACTAAGCATAGGGCGACCTGGCTGAGCATGTCTCTTCTCTCGGCATGAATCCGGTCCCACATTTCCAAGGACTTCTGGCTGTTCAGGCAAGACCATTTAGACCATGGCTTACATGTAGGACTAACCCAGACATGCTCAGGCCGGTGTCGGCAGACTGCATCAAACAGCTTTTTCCTCCCCTCAGGTTGTTGCAGATCGCCTTGGCTCAGACCGAATCGCAATGCTTTGCCGCCAAGCTGATTCACCTGTTCTGTCAACGTGCTTTGATCACTGCAGAAAACTTCAATAAGGTTTGCTTTTGGTCCCATGATCTTTACGTTTCTTTCACTGTAGGCAAGTTCATGTTCCATCATGGTTACTAACTTATTGAAGTGATTACGTTCAGCATTACTTTGGCTATTGGTGAATTCATCAATCTCCCCAGCAGTCAATGCCCAGTGGCGATCTCCATGCTCTGAGCCTAAGCACTCCATGGATCTTCCCACTCGGATGCCAGAGGGAGCACCGGAAGATCGTCGCTCATCATGGCTGGCTCGGCGGTGGTCACGGTAGTTGGCGTCAGATGCACCAGGATCTGGTGGAGAGCGTTCTCCAGGTTCGTCATGCGATCCTCCAGGGAGTTCCCCTCGTGGAGGTATGCTTGCTCCTCGGGTACTGCATCTGGGTGCTGTGGAGGGCCAGAGCGGCGAGTTGCCGTCAATGACTTCGGAGCAGCTTTGGGCCTCGGACGCACAGGCATTTGAGGAGTTCCTCCTTCCGGGTTCTCTCCTTCCTCGATCTTCAACTTGATGAATCTGATCACCTTCTTGTGCTCGACATTCGAGCTGTCTTGGTAGTGAGTCAAGAACCATCGGGCCCACTCCTGAGCCGTATCCCACAGCTCTGCATAGGTCTTGCCCTGATGGGCCTTTCCGAACTTCACTTTCTCGTTCTGCAGGGCTTCCAAGCTCAGGTGGTCGACCGTTTCGGTCTCGGCTTTCGGCATTTCTGCCTGGAGCCTCTGGAGACGCTTGGACCAATCGCTCATGGTCAGGCAGCGATCTTGCTGGGTGATCGTTTGGAATGCTTGCTTGAGCTTCAGATTCTTCCACGGTTCTTGGATAGTTCAGGCTGATCTCATGTGAACTGGAAACGTCAGGGTTGATAGGAAAAGGTTCTTGGCTCTGGCATGTTATAAAACTGGTATGGCTTGTGGTGGGCATGGACATGGCATGTGCATCAGTGTTTGGGTTTTTTGCAACGGGTTTCTTTTCATCACAAACATTCATGATCTTGTTGGTGGGTTCCATCACGGCACTTTCAACTTCGGAGGGACCAACTTCAACCTTCTTTTCGATGGACTCTTGGGCAAAAGTCTCGGCTGGTTGTTCGACTCCCTCCTGATGAGGAGACACTCGGAAAAGCATGTTCATGTCAACCAGATACAAGCCTTTGTTGGACAACTTCAGTGGGATCTGTTGATTGTGTTTTGGTAAAATCAACTGATTTGCGCTTGTATCTATCAAGGCTCCTAGGGCTCTCAAAAGAGTGTTCGACACCAGAAATGGTGTTGCGCCTGGGACCACTGCGATTTTCAACTCATATCCACACACTGGTACCACCATGGCATGTACTGATTTGAGGGTTCCTTGGTTACCAAACCGAAATGTCACATCACATGGGCATCTACGGATTTTATTTCGGACACTGGCATGAACGCTTTTCAGAAAGCTGGATACAAAATCACTTCCCATAACTGTTTTGGTGGCCCCAGTATCGAGGATTCCCCAGGTGTCATGGGTGGCAAAAAGTACCTCAGCGGATGCATTGGACACTCCAGGCATTGGGCTCTTCGGCTCATTCAACCTAGGTGCATTCTTTGGATCCAAAATGGATCGGCTGACACTGTGGCTACGCGGCAGATCGGAACACTGTGCCTGATGAAACGGCTTTCTGTACACGGATGCTTTGCGGTTCACTGCAGGCTGGTCATGGGATGGCAAAAGGCGGTTCTCAATCCTGCTCACCAGGGAGGCAACTTTCGAATTAGTCCCCCTATTTCCCTCAATATGGTTTCTAATTCGCTCCCGTACTTCCCTCATGTTAGTGGGATCCCTATGAACCTCTTTCCCATTGGCTATACAAAAGAAACTAGTCTGTACATTACAAAACTGGCGTGTTCCATCATGGTCCTGCTCTGGCGGTGCAACTTCTGGAAGGCTGAGAAACTCGGCAGACATTGCATCTGGAGCGGCAGTCGAAGCGACCCCTAACGACAAAGTCACTGGTGCCGTCGAGGCGGACGAACTGTTCGTCGGCTGTCCCCGATTCGGACATTCACTTTTCCAGTGGCCCTTGCGGCCGCAGATCCTGCAGTTGCTCTCTAAGATGCGTTGCTGCAAGGTTTTTCGGTTGTTCCAATTGGGCTTGCCCTTTGACTTGCCCTTGGAACCTTTGAATTTCCCCTTGGAAATCGGCCAAAAGCCTCTTGCACGATACTTCTCACTGAGCTTTTCACGGGCCTCCAAGTAAGTCCAGAAGGCGGCGGCTAAGTCTTCATCTCCTTGAACCACATCCGTTGCTGCCGTCTCAAAATCAGCTACGAACACGGCGTCTTCGTCGCCCTCTTGGGCCAAGCTCTCAATGAAGTCTTCAACGGCTCCATCATCGTGACCTGCAAAATGGACTTGGTCCTCATAGTCCCCTGATTGCTCCACGTCCTCTACAGTGAGGGTTGACTGATCATACACCTTTGACTTGGTGCCCTTTTTCAATCCAGTCATCTCCTGAAAAAAGGATGTGCCCAGCATTCGAACGGACTCCCGGACCTTGACCATCGTCAACTTGCCTTCAAGTGAGTTGTCACTGTCGATGATCACCCGTTTTTAATCTTCCACTGAAAGCAGAGAGCCACGGAGCGTCACATACGCTTGGAGGTCTTCCAATGTCAACTTTTGCGACATCAACTTTGTCCACAACACATCGGCTCGTGCCAGGAAACTGTCATGACTTTCATCGCTCAGTTGCTGACATTGGAACAAAGCTTTCTCTGCGTCTGAGTATCGTTTCTCTAAGCCAGTCTTTCCCCAGTGTCCCCCGAGGAGCTCAATCAACCGTTGCACCCCTTTCTCATCATTGACACATAGCTCCTGGTAGTGGAGCTGCAACTTGGAGAATGCGGTACCTGTTGTTCCTAAAATCAGTCGTGTGATGAGCTCCGACACCTTGTTCGAGGGCCACACTGCGAAAACTAGCTGTACCTTTTGTTGGTAAAGCTGTAGATCATCCTTGCTCGGGTCAAAACTTGGAACCAGAAATGCCAATTGGCTGGAAACCGTGCCTCCAGTCTCAGACACTTCTGTACCTGCTGAACCATCGCTACCGGACGGCATGTTCTGTCACCTTCACGGCCACCTTTCAATGCCTGCAGATGTCAGCTATGCACCTCTGGTAGCCCCCTGGATTCCCCTGACAACGTGTCAGGGGCTCCGCTACCAATGTAAATGGGGGTAGCTCCCAACCTGAAAACACCAACGGCGGTCCCTGCCACCGGCCAAAGTTCCAGCTGCGGCCTCGCAGACCCTTTTGGCACCTCGCAGATCTTGCTGTATCCACAGCTATGTTTAGGTCGGCCACGACCCTTGAATTGCACAGCCAATTGCTCCAAGGCTTCGAAAAACCCTCCCTCCTCAGCTCCTATGGGGCTCCCTGAGCCTACAAAGGCCTGCGGATCCATACCGCATGATGGTGCTGGTTGTGCACCTGGCAAGTTGACAAGAGCTAAAGCTGGCGAAATGAGAACATTCACAATACAGATATATAACTATATATTTATACTGACACTATCTGTGATTCATGGATCTCTTTTCACGCTCAAGCTCTAGATGTGGGTAGAACGGGTGCTTGCAGTCGTGGGCCTGATTCGGGACTCGTCTCTTGCTTTGTCTTGTCCCTATCATTGTGGATTTTCCTTGCTGCCTTCTTTCCTGTCCGGCCTTGCTTGTGGACTTTCCATTGGACTTCTTGCAGCCTTGGTTTTCTTTGTAATCCACTCTCACTCCCTGCATTTGCACCCAGAGCCTCCTGGGACTCAGCCTGCTCCCTTCACCGCTGTGCGTCGTAGGTCCAGGCTTCAGGGCTACTTGCATGAGTGATCATTCGGTGGCACAGCTTACCCTTGCCATCGAACGACTTACCCTAGCCACCAACAATCTCTCTGCGCAGCTGAGAACGGTAGGCCTTAGCCGTGAAACAACTGCTGAACCTTCTGGGTCTATCAGTGATCCTGTGCCTTCTTTGCCCAGGCGCCCTCAGACGACAGTGGAGGAGCTCTTCAGAGTTCCTTTCCCAGATAGTTTTGAGCAGCATTTGCAGGCCTCTCGGTTCGGTGGACTTGAGGGGGGGACCAGGCCCTTTGCCTGGTTGCTGTCGGCAAGCGGCAGCAGATCGGCTTTCTAGAAAGCCACCTGGAGCAGACATCAGAGCCGAGATTGCCTTTGCCGCGGGATTCTGGTCAAACATAGCCATCGAGACCAGCACTCCCTATCAGCCCAGAGCTTTACTTCAGGGTACCAAGAAGCAGCATTGGATTGTCCTGCGTAGCACGTTTGGAGAGCCCTTTAGGACCTGCACGTGGCGCGAAGTTCAGAGGATTTGTGACACGGATCATCCGGAGACGCTGACGGAAGTCGAGATCTTTTGCTTCGGGGCTTCGTCCCCGATCCCTTGCTTGAGATCATGCACCGCAACTCCTTGAGGTTTGCAGGCTCGTCGGAGGATGGGACCCTATGTGTTCTTACTCTTCTGCCAGAAATGTTGCCGATGATGTCCCAATTAGTTGTATGGCCATTCCCATTCTTATCGAGACCGGGTGGAATGCTTCTGGCCGTTCCTGCAGGATATATTTCACCGCATGTTTTGCTTGATGCTGCTTTTGCTGATGAGACAACCCTCCTTGGGCCGTCTCAGGAATTCAAATGTTTCATGATCGAAAAGGACGAGCACGGTGGTGAACATAGGTTGGATGAAGCCGGTTCCTTTTTGGCTATCGATGTCAGCGACGCCATTTTGGCCCATTTGCGCGAGTATGATCCTGTAACTGACCCCAGCGAGACCATCCAGACTTTTGTTCCCGAGCATCCTGAAGCCATTGTAGATTTGAAGCAAGCTTTTGAGGACGTTCGTGCCTGGTTAGAGACCCTAGGAGACAGTGCCAGAGTCAATTTTTTGAGCGCTCGAGAGGAGCCTCCAGAACCCCTCCCCAAAACGGGAAAGAGGGCCAGCCCGAAGAGGATCACCACAGCAGCTCTGGCCGAAAGTGTAGCCAGTTTGACCACGCAGATGCAGACCTTAGCCGCCCAACAGGAAGCATTGCTCAAGCTTTCCAAAGCCAGTGCCACTCATGTACCCGTGCAGCCCAATGGAGGCATGACCACTGCATCAAGGGTCCCAGACGTTTCTGCGGGGCTCAGCAGCCCAATTCCGGCTGGACCTACGAACCTTGCCAATCTGATAGGTCCCCCTCCAAGAACCAAGCAGCCTGCCCTTGCAAAGGCCACCGGGCCTGCTTTGCCCGACACAGGAGAACCTTTAGAGCAGTTGCAGGTAGAGGATCAAAATGTTGTGACAAAAGCTCTAATGCAGCAGTCAGCAGCGATAACCTCTTTAGTTGCTCACATAGCAGCCGGAGGAGATCCTGTGATCGACCTCCAGGGGTCCCAAAGTTCCGCGCTTACCTTGAGTACTCGCGGCGCTGCAAAAAGAGAAAAGATGCAACAGGATCCGGCGAATGGCACCAGCCAGTATTTCCTACAAGTCCAGCAACAGCTATACAAGAAGATGAATCCTTCGAAGCCTTTGCCACGCTCAGACAGCGACCTGCTGTCAGCAGGCGCCAGCATGACTGCGTACATGGAGAAGTTCGGGGGCTTCAAGTCCAGACAAGACCTAGGTTTCATAATGTGGATGCTGAGCCATGTCATGGACGCCGGAGCACAGGGGAATTCACATTTGATGCGAGAGTATGTTGCCCTGACGGTGGCCTGCATAGATCAGCCCAACTTGGACGGCCATTGGTCCATGGCCTACACTTTGTCACTGCTGGAAGAACCTCCGAACCAAGTTTTCTGCGAGAAGGGGACCGGGATGACAGCCATCGGCAGACCTTTATAGGGAGGGCCATTTATTTAGGGATTTTTTTTTTTTAAGTTTAGGGATTTTTTTTTGGATTTCTTCCTGCTTACTCTATTGCCTCCTGCAGTGCTTCTCTGCTTCTTTGCTTCTATTCCTTTTTTGTTTTTTTTGCTTTTCTTTGCTTTTTTGCTTTTTTGCTTCCCTTGCTTTTCTTTGCTTTTTTGCTTTTTTGCTTTTTTGCTTTTCTCGCTTTTCTGCTTTTCTTTGCTTTTTTGCTTTTCTTGCTTTTCTTTGCTTTTTTGCTTTTTTGCTTTCCTTGCTTTTCTTTGTTTTTTTGCTTTTCTCGTTTTTCTGCTTTTCTTTGCTTTTTTGCTTTTCTTGCTTTTCTTTGCTTTTTTGCTTTTTTGCTTTTCTTTGCTTTTTTGCTTTTCCATGAGGTGTGGAGCAACATCTTCTATCCATCTATATCCATCTATATCTATCTATGTCTATCTATATCTGTATCTATATCTACATCTATGGCTGTATCTATATATCTATATACCTATATATATATATCATATATCTATATAATTATCTATATATCTAAATATCTATATATATATCTCTCTATATATATATCTCTATATATATATATCTATATATCTCTATATATCTCTATATATATCTATATATTTCTATATATCTCTATATATATATATATATCTATATCTAGATATCTATATACATATATATCTATCTATCTATATATCTATCTACCTATCTATCTATCTATCTATCTAATTATCTATCTATCTATCTATCTATCTATCTATCTATCTATCTATATATCTATCTATATATCTATATATCTATATCTCTCTCTATATATATATATACTATATATCTATATATCTATATATATATATATATCTATATATCTATATATCTCTCTCTCTCTCCATATATATATATATTTATACCACCATATATCTATATATCTGTATATATCTATCTATATTTCTATATGTATATATACATATATCTTTATATCTATATATCTTTAAATATATATATATATCTATTTATCTATATATCTATATCTATATATATATATATCTGTATATATATATATCTACCTAAAAGGTTTGCATTATCATGCGGATGATATTCAAACCCCAAGCCAACCCTGAACCAAACCTTATATAAATAGATCTTAAACCAACTCGATGATAACATCAAATGAAACTATTGTGCATCGTTGTGCCTTAACCTACATTCCACATGTTTCCAAGGTGCATGTCGTGTAGTATATACACCTTGAGTATCACATTCAACCTAGCACCTTGCATGTGAAAATAGGTGTTTCCAATCTGCTTTGGGGGGGAGGCGCTGCGCCCTTGTTTTTGTTTCGACCTAATACCTACATAGGTACATGCATGAGTATTGAGCACATTTATATGCGCCTTCAAGGCTCAAGAAAGAGGTATATAGAGTAACCCTGTAGACAAGCACAGACCAGCAACAGGCTGAGTAAAACAAGTGCTGTCATTGGGGAAGACGCCTTAGCTGATCTTGAAGTAGACGCTAGGGCCCCTCTTCAAGTGGTAGCGGAGCAGTGATCCCTCATTGAGGGTGAGCTCCAGGTAGAGCCCAAGAAATGGCAAGCCATGGCTATGATGATGATGACTTCGACATTGTCGATGCAAATGAATGGAACCAATATGACTCTTATGCAATGAGAAGAGCACCCCAGCATACACAGATTCATATGACGCAACAGATGACCACAAAGGTTGCTCCAGCCTATGATGGGCGAACCAGCTTCTTTGCTTTTGAGGATGCAATTGATGACTGGTGTGACATTACGGAGTTAGAACCAGAGAAACGTGGTCCAGCATTGCGCAACAGACTGGAAGGAGATGCTCAACAATACAAGAGGCTATTGGATAGAGAATTACTCAGGGATCCCTATGAAGGAGTGGCTTATTTTAAAAGATTTCTACGACCTCATTTCATCAAAGGTGCCCAGAACGTGTTCTTATACCGTTTCATGCAGTTCATGAAGTTCAACAGAGGAACCATGGATCTTCAGAAGTGGATGACTAGATTTCAACTCACTGGCAATAGACTTATTGAGTCTTGGATGGATTTACTTCCAGAAGTAACAGTGACTAGTCCTGAAGCAATCCTGTTTGTTCAACAACGACGTCAAGAACATGAACGAGATCAACAAGAGAGAGCTGAAGTAGCAGCAGCCTCAGGAACACCCCATGTAGCTGTTCCTTGGACAGATGAACTGGCACTAGCGGCATTCAGACAATTTCAGGAAAATCGTAGACAAGTACAGCGACAAGCATTCCCACTGGGTGAAAATTTGCTAGCATTGATTTTTGTAAGTCTAGCTGACCTGAGTCAAGATCAGAGAAACACACTCACAAGTATCATGACACATCGTGGACGAACCCTCGATCGATACAGCATTCAAGAACTACGTGACCTGTTCTTGGAAATGTTTTGCACTACCAAAACAGCAGTTGACAATCCATTGATGCAACCCTCTGGCATGGCACAGAGAAGATCTTTCCTCGTACTGGATGAAGGTGAATTAGAAGGAACCGACGGCTATTGGGCCGAAGATGAAGAAGACGGCGCAGAAGGATTCCTGGATGCTTTAGAAGATGTTTTCTGGGTTTATGATGACGCCAACTTCACATGGTATCAGAGAAGGTTCCAAGGCAAATACATCAGACGAGGCAAAGGTAAAGGAAAGAGAAAAGGAAAAGGAAAAGGCAGAGGAGGACGAAGGTTCTTCAGATCAAGAAAAGGAAAAGGCCGAGGAAAAAGAAGAAAAGGCCGTGCTCACATGGTGAGTGAAGAAGATTATGAAGATGAATGGCAAGATGATGAATGGAATGAAAACTATGACGGCTATTGGGCCGATGATCAAACCTGGAATGAAGGCTATTGGGCCTATGATGATTCATACTACATGGATGAGTATGGATATTTCCAGAGGAAAGGAAAAGGAAAAGGAAAAGGAAAGAAAGGCAAGAAAGGCAAGGATGATGATGGAAAAGGAGGAAAGCCAGGAGATGGAAAAGGCAAGTCGAACTATGTTCAACCTCAGACCACATCAGCTCCTGCCATACAGAATCAACAAACTCAACAAGCTCATTATTCTTCTGCAGCTTCAAGTTCTGGTCATGGTTTCTTTTCATTTGGAACAACTGAACCAGCACGTCTTGATGTTGCAGAGACAGAGCCAGCTCGTGTTGATGTTTTGACATCCACGTATTCAGCACAAGATGAACAACGACGCACTCGTCGTGGAGGACAGAACCAACGTGATGCAAGAGCACATCAAAACAGGAGAGAAATGAAGAGATTCCCTGTTCTAGTTGGAGAAGTTGGTGCACTACGACAAGGTGTACGACAACGTCCAGCTATAGTGCCCAGGCAAGTTGGTCTTCAAGAAGGTGAGGCTTCATGGAAGCCATTGGCAAAAGGCACTTCATTGTTTTCATATGGATGCTCTACAGAGATAGAGGAACCATCACAGCAGAGTGCTTTTTCATTTCATACTGTACAAACTGATCTGGCATGTGAGAATGGACTAGCTTTTCACACAGAGAATTCTGCACCACCAACTGTGTGTATTCTGGATCTTGGATGCACAAGAGCTATGGGCTCTCGACGAGCAGTTGAAGCATTTTGCAGATATGTTGACTCACATCCCAACAGTGGACTCTGGTATGAAATTCAGCCAACAAGTTCAAGATTTTTCTTTGCAAACTCACAACAATCAAAATGTACTGAGAAGCTCGTGATATTCATGTATGATCATGGATGGAACACTCAGTTTACAGAATTCGACATTGTCGAAGAAGGTGATGTCCCATTGTTGATGTCACTTCCACAGATGAGAAACCTTGGATTTCAATTTGAACTTACTCCAGAGAAGGCTTATTTGTCCTGTGCACGTATTGGCATGAGAAAAATGGTTTTGAGGACAGCCATTAGTACTCATCTCATTCTCGACCTACAAGATGTAGCATGGTACATGAGCCAAGTTCATTTCAAGACTCCACAAGTCAAAAGTTTCTATTCACAACACGATCACTTTGAGTACAGTCAGATTGCTGTCAAACAAGATGATCATGAAGGAGAAGCTTTGGTGACTGGTGACTACTGGCAGGTTGATCCACTACGTCGTGAACTCATCAGGCACCACAAGGACAAGAGAATGAACTTACATGAGATGACTCGATCAGAGAAAACTCCAATTCCAAAAGATCAACTTCTTGATGAGAGAGAAACCCACATGGAATTCCAGAAGAGCAAGAAGAAGGTTCTTCACAAGGACAACTGGCGCACTGAAAAGAAGAGGTTTTCTGAACAGAGTGAAGAGTTCTGGAAGGGCAAGACCATCTACAAGATCAAGGAGGACTACGTGATCCCAGATGACATTGTCAGAAGTGACATTGATCGTGCAAAGCCCTTTCGTGGAAACATTGATGATCTTTTTCACCCTGAGTCAGCCTCTTCAGTGCCATCAGGTGTACAGAAGAAGAAGCCAAGCTCCTTAAAGAAGGAGGAAGGCAAACCGATTTCAAATGGACCAGGCTCGAAAAAGATTGAGGTAGGTCCACCTGCAGCCAAAAGACACGTAGGTAAGCAGAAACCTCAGGTTGTCGATGACTCTCAATCAGGTTCATCAAGAAAGAAGGTTGTTGTCTCCTATCCCAAGCTTGATGAGGAAGATGAACTAGACATAAGAGCTAGGGAGTTAGGTTTAGACAAGATTGATTCAGATGAACCTCAAGTCATTGAACCAAAACATTCTGCACCTGCGCGCAACCGTGGTAAGCAAGATTCAGAAAGTCAAGTTGAGAAACTAGGTAGTGATGCTCTTGAGCCTAGGCGAGTTTCGATCCCACTGCCTGGTAGTGAAGTGCAAGCCATGACACCAGCATACAGAAAGATGCTCAGGAAACTGGAGGATAGTGTGGAACTTTACAAGCTTCACATTAAACACTATCACATGTCTCCTACTCAAT